ATGTGTGTTTGGATTCCAGGGAGGAGAAACTTTAAAATGTGGAAAGCAGTAAATGTTATGGAGGAATTTGCTGACGAGAATCCAGATTGATCCGTCCTACCTGGTAAGCGTTTTTGAGATTAATTGGAAGCTCATAATAAATGCTTCAAACATACACCACTCTTGAGTCCTTGAACCCTGTGGGTTGTTGAGTTTCCCAGTAGCTTTTCTCTCCTGCCTGCAAATGGCAGTCTTATTGCTTCTGGCCTGGTTGAAAAGGCTTGTTTTGATCAAATAGACATGGATTGGTACTGGGAGAAATGGCCTATAGTCACAGTATCTGGTTGGTGTTTCCTCCAAGATCTTGATGTAATTTGCCCTTCGATATATCCGATTGCTTTTCAAGAGCACCTCTCCAGGAGGTTCTAGGCATTAATTGGATTTCCTTTAATCGTGCACATTGTCTCTTGACTGTATTCAGCGAGTCAATGATGAGTGCGATGCAGATGTTTCACCTGTGGCACTAAGACATAATAGGCAAACGTGATGAAATCCAGAGAGGAGTAATTATAGCACGCTTGCATCACATTTGATTATGAAGACTGTGTGGGTGACTGTGGCAGGCCTTCTCTGTGCCGCATCACAGTGCTGTTTACAGCCCGACTCTGACTATTTCTGATCGTGTGGTGTTTTAGGGAAGAAAATGCTTTTCTGTTAAGTTGTGTAACTGCTTTTGTTACCAAGCTCTGTAGTATGAAGGTCACCTCTATTGACAAGTCAAAGAACAGTTATGTCAGTGTTATTAGGGGCCTTTTCTTAACCTGCGGATGTGAATTAGCTCTGACTCATTGCATTAGCTCTGCATGCACCTTGATATCTGGTATTGCTTCCCTCTGATGCTTAGATGTCAGACATTCTCATGAATAGGGCTGCATAAAGTTACTTCTGGTCAGAACAAGGATAATGAATGTCTTTGTTCGTCACACCCTAGATGGTAATGAACACGAATTCAGTTTGGCAGAACACTGTTTCCTTGGCAACCATGTGAGAGATAAATGGAGCGTTTTGTCATTTAAATCCTGCGTGTCCACATCTAGTGATGGTCCTCATTATTAACAATGTAGAAAGCAAATGTTATGGTTGATTCTTTCTTTTCTTTCTCGTACTTTTATAGCAGGTACATTAAAATGTGGATTAAAGTGGTAAAACTTTTTCTTTTCTGCATCTGTTGCCATGCATTGCATCATATTATAAACTACGGCTGTACATTTTTAAAAGTCCTTAGTTAACTAATGTACACATTCCTAGATCTCTTAGCTTTCCTTTAATATTTTTTTCCTTTTATTTGCTTTAACGTGTTGAGTGATAAATTGGTTGATACCTTGGTTACATTATGTATAGATGTCCAGTGTAGGGCTGGGTATCGGTACAAATGTCCCGATTCGATTCCGATTAACAAGATCTCGATTTGATTTGAGATTTTGATTCAGTTAATTCAATAATTAAATTTTCACTGGCCCCACCACAATAAAAAGTAATAAATTAATAAAATATTTGTTGTTTTTGACCCATGTATCCTTGTATTGTAATACATAAGGTTATAACGCCAACATTTTAGATACCAGTGAAATTTAACAGTTCTCAATTCCAATTTCTACTAGGTAAATAAGAGGATGACATCTAGTTGAGAATGACTAGTAATAAAATCAAGGTCACTCAGATATGTTCAATGTTTGCGAAAATACAGAAAAAAATATAGATTCGTGGCTTTTGAGAATCGATATCGAATTGATCACATAAAAAAAAAAAAAGATGAATCACTGCCCTAGTGCAGTGTAAAAAAAGTCTGCTTAATAGAGGTTGTGCATTTGACTTTCTTCATGCGTAGCTAGTAATTAGCACTACAACATTTGGTATCATCTTAACATCCAAGGGCAAAAGTGCTTCAGCTGAATCTAACAAAAAAATGCTTTTATTTTTCGCTAGCTGGTTCATTGAGCCGCATTGCGCCTCTCTCTATCATTTCCTTTTTGTTGACTACTTTGATCAGGGAGTGGATGAGGGATGACTACCCTTGGTGGCTAATGGAGCTTCGGCCCTTTGCTTTAATATAGTTCATTTTGAGAGACTTGTTTTGAAGAGAGGTGTCCATTCATCCTCTGTGGTCCCTGAGAGCTCAGAGCTCTAAGGAAATGATGCAGAGAGAAAATAAGACCCTTTTTTGTAGACTTAAAATCAGAGGGAGCGAATTAACGGTTGGAGCGACTGACGTGATAGGCTAATACTTTTAGAGGATTTCTTATTGTGTTTTCATCTGGTCTCGGAGTTGCCTTTTCATTTGTGTGTGTTCAATGACTTCATGCAGGTTTTAAACGAGCCTTCGTAATTGGGTACACGCCGTACAGTTCGAGCACAAAGTTGAGACGCACAATATTCTCTCACTTTCTTATGTTCATCTTAGTGTACTTAAATCCCGAGTTAATTCACTTCTGTTTTCATTTCCTCAGACGGGGACAGACCTCTGCCATGCAGGGCTGCAACCAAATTAAAAATGACCTTTGGAGTTAATAGCTTCTTTTCGCAGTGAGTGAAAAGCCTTAGAAAGCCGCTGCATCTGAAGCCTCTGTAAGAAGGCTTCAGAAATGGCTGTCCTCTATAAATCATGTTCAGCTTTAGCCATTCTGCCTCCCCCACTCCCCAACAACTTTTCTTTTTCTCTGGAAAAAAGGCATATAGGCACAGCATCTGTGAACCAGTGGTCAACAGCTGCCCGGAGGGAGTCGACCAATCGCTTCTCTCGTTTACATTATTCCTGCAGTAAAATCATTAAAAACAATTCTATCGTCTGGGTTATACGTTCTTGAGATTTACAAATGATTTAAAATCTATAAACTGTCAGGCAGAAATCATGGATGACACACAATATCATTGTTGTTGAAGTGGGTGGGTAGCTGAATGTATTTATAGAAAAAGCATTTAAAATGGCTACATAAAAGCTGATATTCACAGTGCCTGATGTATTAGACTCCCAAGGTTAGGTATACAGTAACAGTCGGGGTATTATTTATGTTTTTGGTCTGCTATATTCTGCACTGGAAATTGGTTTTCTTTCACCTTGCCCTGCAGTACTTGTGCATTGCACAGTATATAACACAGGCGTGTAGCTATTGTGGCTTATGCTTGCTGCCACCCTCACTCTTTTGAAACCTCCACAGAGGCTGCAGCTGCAGTTTTATTGAGGAAATCACTGGTTTCACTCATGGCTTTATAATAAACCTACATTTGTATTTATTTTATATTTTATATATTACAAAAAAAAATGTAAACTTTATTTTATTTGTGTATTTTGTTTTTGTTGCATTTTCTGTATGGCCACGATTCTTCCTCTTCTTGGCCAAAGCTCAGATTTTACAGAATTATTTTCTCACAATACTGTTTTGGATGAAAATCAGTAATGTGGGTTCAGAGTGACTAACTTTCATTTTCTTTTCATTTTATATTTGGAACAGTATTTCTAGAGCGTCTGAGACCTCAGTAATTTCCCACCGGTAGTGTCATGCATCAGCACCATTTTACGTTCTCTGCTTACTAAAGAATCTCAGAGGAAAAGAAAAGGAAAAACCTGTCCAGACATAGGCTATATATGCGGCACTTCACATGAGAGAAGTAATGGTCCCATAATTCTTCCGCAAAACCTACCTAACACTATTTAGATCATATTTAAATCAAGAATCAGTGGTCTAGATAATCGTTTTCAACCAATGTCAATCATCTCATGTTTATAATAGCATTTTTAAGCTGATTAAAACATTATTCTTTCCTGGGCTAGAGTGGAATCTCTGTTGTGTTGTTGCATTTGATACCAGTCATTCAGGCAGGTTGTTATCTCGGTTTAGAAGGGCAGGTGAGTGCAGGGTTATGATAATGTTAATGATATCAGAAGCCATTTACTTCAGAAGGGCACCTTGCCTGAAGCTTAGACCGAATACCCTGAGTGCACCGATCTTAAAAGGCTTTCAGCCATCTCTGTATCTAGCACGTTTGATACATGATAACGTTTCTACAATCCTTTGTGTAGAAGATATTTTAAAGGAACCAACAGTATACACAGGCAAGTATGACCGTATGTACCTAAAGAGCATATTAGACCAAAACATTTATAAATTGTAACATTTTTATTTAAAAATATACGTCTTAAGGAAAAAAAGATCTTTTCAGTTGGCCACATCTTTACCCACTATACAGATATGAAATAGTACATATTACAATACAAAAGGGAAAAGCGGGGTTTTGGGAAGAGGAGGGTGAAAAGCATTCATTTTTGCACAAAGAAGTTTTTGGGTTGTGATTTGAAGGGACTGTTTTGACCAGAGTGAGCAGCAGGACTTCAGCGTATGGAAATATTCCCCTTTCAAAAAAAGTTTACAGGAGTGCAAATGGATTCATGTTTAGAGGTTTTTGTGATTGCTTATAAGCTGATAGTTTAAACAGTTTGTCAGAATTTCAAAAGAAGGTCGTTCTTCCCCGTCACACGCCTAAACTATCAGATCAGGATATGAGGGTTTTTGTCTTTTTTGTAATGATGCTAATGTGCATGGCAGGTAATCTGTTTTCTTTAAACATGCAAGGATTTTTGAGGAACGCACAAAGCAAAGCTTGGCTAAATCCAAAACAAAGCAACACCATTGGTGGATGTTCTTGGCTCAGTAAATGTTAGCTGTAGTTTTAATCGTTTAGTCAGACAACATAAAAATAAAAATAAAATAAAAAACATTTTGGAATGCAGGAACCCAGCTACACCTCTGGATGCACAGAAAAGATCAGCTACACAGACCTGCATTCCTTTTCTATTTGTTTTTACCAACATAAAGTTGTCTTTTACAGGGTTGGAGTTAGAGAAAAGAAGTTTTGCAGTCATTTCTCATTCATGGTATTTTACAGCACCCTCTAGAGGACAACTTTAACCAGTCTCTTCGGCATGCTTTATTTCAGCATTGGATAGTTACTAGTTTTTTTTTCTACTGCCATTAGACCCTTAGTAACCAGAAAATCTTTGATATAGATGCCAATTTTCAGATTTGGAGCTTTACACCAAAACCTTCTGCCAGGATATGACTAAAGCAGTTTTCTCTTAAGCTATATAGCTTGATGACTAACTTTATTTCTGCATTGAGGCAATTATTGCAGATTGACTTGTGTGCCGTTCAGTGCTTTCCAGATCTTGCCCAGGGTGTTGTCATTCACTGTTTTGTCATGCAGTTCTTTTTTTCCTCTAATGGTTTATGTACCCTGATTCAGCCTCACTCGATGGCTCCTAAGATGCTCATTGACTTCAATTAGATGCTAACTGGTGTTTGTGCTTCCTTTACCCCCCTGTGCATCCCTGCCCCCAACTCTTGATTTCAACACAAAGAGCTAAGTTACTGCAGCAGCAGCTTCTTTAGTTTGATGCTAATGTCTGTCCTCTCAGTGCTGCATACAAATGTCTCCTGACCCAGCCTCCTGCTGTCTTCTGCATGCTCTCCTGAGAGCTGTGCTACGCTTTATTTCAGCTTTTCTCTCTGTTTTGGTTTCTTGTGTCCTTGGTATGAACCTCTGGATATTTCTTGCACAGACAAAAAAAAAGGCTTTTTTGTATATATGGACTAAAAGGATAAAGGCTATGAAGTAATAACTCTCTTATTTCCATGAAGGCAGCAGATCTCATGCACTAATTTTGTACTGGCCGAGGAGGCTGAAACATTCAGGGCAGAGTTTTTGGGTGACAGATCGTAAGATTTGTTTTCCCAGGGCTTAATTGACTCAATGTTGAAGCTGTCAGGTATGATTATGGTCTTTGCTGCATTCAAACAGTGTGACACAAAGCATGCACATTTATTTTTAGGAGACAATTGTCAGTATCCTCTGCATTCCTCCTTTCTTTTCCCTAACCTTCTCACTAGGAAGTTGTTCTTGCTGGTGTTTGCTTCATCTAGCTTTCTTTGATGGTCTCTACCATTAATTAATGATGCAGTGATTTAAGCAGCATTGTTCTGTCACAGTGAGGATGTCAGTGTTTTAAGCAATCTTATGTAAGAATATATGCACAATGAAAATTGAGCAATCGCTGCTGTTTAACATTTTAGTAAATCCCTGCTGAAGTTGTAATAGAGCTTTTTTGGACATTTTGTTAGAGCCATATTGGACGTTAACCTTTTCGCACAAAGTGCTAGGCTTTAAGATTTCAAGGAACTGGAAAGAGTTTATTGAATTTAACCAAATACAGAAACAAGAAGGCTGGTAAGTGTTCTCATTAGTTTGAATTTAAGACTCGAAAGTGAAAGGATCATTTCTGCCACACGAGAAAGCCAAGTAACGTGAGTGGATTGAATTCCCTGATCAAATCTAAATTTCATTGTGGCTCAGTTTGTAACCGTATTTGTTCTCAATTTAGAAAAGGTGAGTTAAAAATTATGCTTTGTATCCATCCGATTTGTGTATGTTTTGTTTCCTCTCCCCAAAAGTGAATATGTGAGCGAGATCTATAGTGTTGCTAATGTGCACAGTCTTTTTTTTATCCTTTTAAATTTGTACTGCTCAGCATATGTAACTATTTTCCCATGTAATACAATTTCACCATTTATCAGAAGATACGTCATTTTATAAACTGTTTTCTGGAGCACAGGGTTCCAGGCGGTTTGGCTATAGATTTCTCATCTCCTCTGTGCTGCAGAATACATAGTACACAAACTGGTGATGCAATGACGCATCCAACCTTCCTCTGCTGAGATTGATTGCCCCAGCTAGATATGAACCTTTGTATTACAAAAATAAACTTGTGGATTTCTCTATATTTCTTCTTTTCAAATTCATCCCAGGCATCTCAAGCTTTCATAGATTTCCAAAGCTAACAATTTCAAAGAAACTTTCTTCATACAAACTGAAAAGGGAACAAAAAATGTCCAAAAGCAAACCCTGTATCTTTTGAAATGGACGAATGGTTAAACCCATAAACTGCAAGAATAAATAGTTTATACTTCACACTCTTTGTAAGGCAGTTGCTGACATTTGCACTGCCCATAGCCATTGATGATCACAAGTGCACCCTCCTCGTGACCGGGATCGTACTCGTTATAGGGCACCTGTGTAGCCAGGTCCGCCATTGGCTGCCTCTGCTGGGTCCTCATCTGTCGCCGGTTCTGAATGGCCGAGCAATGGCGGATCCGCCTCAGAGTGGGAGGACAGCATTTTCGCGATATATACACTACAAAAATAATGAGAAAGAATGAAAACAACAGAGCCATGGTGCCAATAATGACCCTCTGGGTCAGCACCGTGTTGTCCAAAGCAGAGTAGTCCTCTGTAACATCTGCCCCCTCCACCATCATGGTAGTAGCAAGGGCAGTGCGTGGGGGTTGGGTGGTGGTGGTAGTAGTAGTGACAATCGTAAAGCTCCCAAAATCCTCTGCGTAGAAGTCTTGCGTAGGGGTCTGCATATTTCCAAACATGGAGCTTGTGATCTCTGGGAGCATGGCATCCGTACTGGTACTGGTCAGTATGACCGGGGCCGAGAAATTTTGGCAAAGTTGGAATCCGTAAACGGCATCCAGTATTTCCTCGCCCTGTGAGTACTCGGGACTGTGGCAGAGGATAGAATGTTCCCATCGACCCTTAAAGGTGCTCAGCCAAGTGGCCAAATTGCAGATCCGTTTGGTACATTCCCAAAGGTTGCTCGACAACCCGATCACAGTTAGGGACTTCCACATATCCATGGTTTGGGTATCGAGGCTGGTCAGTTTGTTGTTATCCAGCAGCAAGATCTTGAGGCTGGGCAAAGTCTCGAACACGTCGGGGGTGAGTACACGTATCTCGTTCCCAGTGAGATCCAGTTTCTCTAGAGTTGTCCATTTCCATTCCATGGTGCATGTTAAATTGTTGATCTTGTTCCATTGTATATAAAGGAACTGGAGGGCAACCAGACGAGGGAAGTGTGCCAAGTTAATCTTGGTCAAGTGATTGTGTTCCAAATGGAGCTCCCGGAGCTTAATTAACCCGGCAAAGCCGTTCCGGGCCAGGCTACGGAGCCGGTTGTTGCTCAGGCCAAGGTATTCCAGGCTCCGGCAGTCCCAGAAGGCCCGCACGGGCGTCGTGCGCAGGGAGTTTGACCGCAGGTGAAGGATCTGAAGTTTCCGGAGCCCGTGAAAGAGCTCAGGCTCCAGAGCCATCATCTGGTTGAAGGAGAGATCCAAGATCTGCAGGTTGATGAGGTGGATGAAGGTTGTGTTTGGCAGCTTGGTGATGCGGTTTGAGCTCAGGTTAAGGTCCTTGAGCTTGTACAGCCCCTGGAAGGCATCTTCATGAACTGTAGTTATTTGGTTGTGGTCCAGATGAAGCCAAGTAAGCTGGGTGAAGCCAAAGAACTGGTCTGAGCTGAGCTCGCTGATGCTGTTGTGTCTAAGCGAAAGTCCAAGGGCCCCTTTATCCACACCGTCGGGGGGCGCCAGGAGCCCCTGTGTGTCGCAGTAAAACTGCAGGTCTTCACATCGGCATTTCTGGGGGCAAGTTGTGCATGACACAGGAGGGAGGCACAGTAGCATGCTGATCACACAAAGTGCCGCTGGTGCTTGTCCCACCAATGGCCACCTTGAATGGAAACCTAGGTGGGTTTAAAGATAAGAAAATAAACTGGGGGGAGGGAAATCTAATCTCTGCAGTACACAAACATTTTTCTTGCACGCGCTCTCTGTATTTGTCAACAGCCAAAGCAATCTGCTTGTTGATCCAAGAATTTTAAATTAACATTTAAAATGAATGTTCAATGAATTGCACTAATAGTTATGCTTAAGTCATTTTAATGCAGAAATGATCCATCCATATCTTTGGATTGCAGTATTAAAATTTTATTTGCGGGTCCTTAGTTTTTTAATTATTTGTTCCCCAGGATGTTTTATCTCCCCCAACTGAATATGCCTTAATTTTCCATTTTAATTATTTGTTTTAGTTTTTTGCAGTAATTTAAATGGCTTGTAAGTCGGCTTTTTTCCCCTCTGCTGGAAAGGACCACTTATTAAATATTACAAGCATATGGGAAAGAAAAGGAAAGCAGCATTTTAAGTATATAGATGTTTCTAGAGACCCTGACAGCCACTGTCCCCCCTCCTATTCACTACATTGCCTATTCAGGTCCAGACTCTGTGAATAAAAGGGCTAACTTACCCATTCTTTTGTGTACATCGGAGGCTGCATTCAACTGTCTTTTTCCGCAGACTTTTGGAGCAGCCAGATGGAAGAGAAATCCAAAGGGAAAAAAACCTTTTGGGTAAATACAAGAGGAATCAAGCTCTTCAGAAATAAAGAAGTGCTGAGCCCCCCCAGTTGAACCAAATTCAGGAATTCCATGTCCTGGGATGCGGTTTTCTCTTTTTTGGGTCTCTCCTTTTTTCAGTCCTGCTATTCAATTCCCAGATTAAGAAAAGATAAGCATTATTTGCCTTCCAAGAATCCTTAAATTTAAAGTTGATGATTTGCATCCAAAGCAGCACCACTGAGCAGATCCCTCTGTCCCTCAGCTGCCTCTTTCCTTTTCCACCGCAATGATGTCAGCTCAATTGGTTAATTGAAGATCACGCATTCCTCTTTCAGTACCCAGTGTCCTTTATCCCTAACTTGTTGATGGCAGGCAGAGGCTGCATTTGCGACGGCGGTTCCGTGTGGCTCTGCTGTGTTGTGTGGAGTTCTCTGCACCGAGGATGGGAAATGCAGTGAGGGGAAAAGCAGAGGAGAGGAGCTGAGATGTTATTCTGTGCTTTTGTTGCAGCCACTCACTGCTACAGAGTGGTGGCAGGCTGGCGTCGATCATCAGTGCAGTTTCTCTCTCTCCCTCTCCCTCTCTCATGCGCGCTTTGGTTCGCTCCCTGGCTCGCTCACTTTCCGCCTTGCACACTTGCACAGTGCTTTGGCGTTTGATTCAACGCACCCTCCCCCTCCCTTACTTTTTTTCCTCTGGTTCGTCACAGTCAGAATATGATAACTGCAACGTGTTGCGGCAGTTCACAGCCGAAATGAACAATTACATTAAATCTCTTCGTCTCTTTCCTGTCTACTCAGGTTGTATATTTTGTATGTGTTTATATACATGTATGTGTGGTTTAGTGCTTTGTATTTGTTGGGTCTTTCACCTCTTTATAGCTGTAAATTAAAACAAGAGATTTCAAATTATTTAGTTTGTTTTTGGTTTTTACTTCAATTAGGTGTTGTTGAATGAATTTACAATATAATTAAGTTGGCTCAGGAAGCTGATATTTAATTTGATATACGATGACTTGCAATCAGATTGGCCCTTCCCTTCTCTCTCACTTTCGTTCGTTCAGGTCTTCTACACAAAACGCGTCACAAGCAAACCGACGTCACAGAGACCTTTTATACTCCTGTCGATCTGCAGTGGTGGGGACAGAATCTGAATGCTGGACTTAATAGAGCATTCATACTGCATAACCCCACTGGAGATTTCACTAAACATAAGATATGCACAACTTAGCTGTTGTCTGCATTTTTCCCAGCTCCTCTGTCATTTGGCTGATTTTTCTTCATGTGGGTTTGCTGAACTTAATGTAATGGAAATCAGACTGTTACTCCTTATGAAACAGAGCCTTGTTTGATGACAGCCTATTGAGCTTACTGGCTAAATGTGGATGAGAGTGGAAATGGATCTATATCGATATTTATATATCAGGGCTGTCAGTTAAACGCGTTATTAACGGCGATAATAACGTGATTATTATATTGCGAGATTAATGGTCTTTTTGGCCTAGCAAACTTTGTAGTTTTTTTCACATGTTTTTGCAACAGGATGCGGCATGCGCGGTGCTGCGCTATGAAACCTGTTCATTTCAATGGCTTGCACCGCGTGAGGACGTTTTGTTGCTTCGTTGACCAAAGTGCAAGCGCAGCGGCACGCACACCGCAGTCAAAATTTAAAATAGTTCAACTTTTGCCGCTGTGACGATTACCAGCATGGCCAATATAAACTTTTTGGCATCCAAAAAGTTTTGAAAACTGGCGTACCACTGTGCATTCTGCGTCCTGTTCTAGCTCCGGATCTAGCTAGACCGGAAACACACTTGTTGCGAGCGGAAACAGCTCTTATTTAACCAACTATTTGGCCGGCTCGCAAGCCTAAACGAGCCGGAAACAAAACAACAGGCTTGCGGTCTAGCTAGATCCGCTTGCTCTTTGGTCGACGAAGCAACAAAACGTCCTCGCGCGGCGCAAGCCATTGAAATGAATGGGTTTTATAGCGCAGCGCATGCCGCGTCCTGTTGCAAAAGCATGTGAAAAAAACTACAAAGTTTGTTTTGCTAGGCCAAAAAGACGTTAATCGCGCGATAAAAAAATGAGCGCCGTTAAAATGGGTTTGCGTTAACGCCGTTAATAACGCGTTTAACTGACAGCCCTAATATATATATATATATATCTATATATCATATAACCTCAGGGCATTTTGCATTTGCGACAGAAAATTACTGCATGCGAATAAACTTATCTAAGAGCACCAGTTCGACTGACCCAATCTGGCCCGATTCTATGGGGTGCACCCTCTGTTGAAACTAATAACAGCATATTGGCCAAACATATTTTGAAAAGCGCCAGTGCATATTTGTGTTTGCACTCTGGAGAGCGTGATGAGAAAATGTGTGTTTGAGCAATGTAGCCAATCACAGGCAAATCTGTTGGTTTCTTGAGACACAATGGCCAATCAGAGGCGTTTAGGTTAAAATCCACCCACCGCTCGAAACACTGGAGTTTGTTCAATGCTGAGTTATGCAGGCCTGCGAATCCTCTCATTATAACAAAGTACAGACACATTGAAAAAAAGAGATTCATTGTGCAGTGTAGACAACTTCATTGATTATAAGGAAAGTTTGTGAGAGCGCGATGAACTAAGACGAGTGACAGCTTTTTAATGATTATAAAGGGAGTGTGCAAATGTAATATTGATTTTATACAATTCAATAAACATGAAGTTAATATTAAGCGACTTACATTTTAGCAACAGTATTGTCAGATGTTGCTCTATTTCGTCAACGAAAATAGTTCCAAACAAAATCACAGCTGAACCGCTGCGCATCTCAGAGCAAACACAAGTGTTTAGTTTATGAATGAATATGTTTTCAAATTAATCTAGTGAGTCAATGATTCAATGACCCATTCATAAAGACAGTCGCTTGCTTTGTTCCTGAATGAATCAGCTGTTTGAACGAATCGATTGAATGAATGATTCCATGACATAGACGGTGACTTGCTGCGCCCTACTGGCGGTTTTAGTTTAATTTGTAAAGTATTATTTCAGTTATTTAAACCATTTAATATTTATATATACAAAACCTTCTATTTAAAACATTCATATCATAACATTATCATGAATTTAATGCATTCATGCCACTTCTGAGCATCATTAAACAGTCTGTAAATATGCCTAAATTTTTTGTTCTCCTCTGCAAAGATGAATTGTTGATACTGATTTCATTTGATTGGTAACTTATTCTTCCTGATTATGCTTATTATTCTAACTCAATTTATAAATGTATGTATTTGACATAAAATGACACATTAATAAGGTTATTAAAGAGTGCTTCGTTGATATCTTTTTATATTCTTTATATTTTTCAACCTGTTCCGATTTTTCTGTTCTCTATGACGTTTTTTGAACTATTACGTCACGGTATTTGCAGCGGAACTGCCAAATAAGGACATCGACTTCCGGCCCACCACTTCGAGCAATCCGCCATTTTTATTTCTCGCTGCAATTTTGTAGTCCAAGCTAAAGGATGCAGAACTTACGAGAGGGTAAGTTAAAATGTTCGGTTGTTGGATGTAGTAACCCACACGCTTCATTACACCGTCTAATGTAGATGAACTGCCGTGCTTGTGTTGTGACAGGGCGCATGTTTAACTGAAAGAACGAGCAGAGAGAGAGACCCGGTCGCGCGCGTGCACTCTCTTCGGAGCCAGGCGAAAGTGTAAACAAGACTTCACCGTCTCCAAACTAGGCGCTGTCTTGCTCTCTCCCTCGCACATATTAATCAAAATAAATCGACACGGTGGTAAAAGGTCGGAAGACCAAAGTTTCATGTGTAAATACAGTAACACACCATTGCGATACATCCATATGAAGACGTTGTTCTGCAGGTTCGTCGTCTTCATTTTCATCTCGCTCCGACTCTGGCTAGAACATGTAAGGCTGGCTGGACAAGTCTTCCGTTGTTGACATTTTGTTAATAACGTGGGAATAAAACGTTTCTGTGCCGGTAGATAATCATATCTCTGCTATCCAACTACAAAAACGGCCGAACGGGGTGGAGTTGAACCGAGTGTCACCGCTACAACCTGGAGAGGGGGCGGGGTATGAAGTGTCTCAATTGTATTTAAAAAGACCGCACCAAAACGAGTTGCTCTCAGACGCACATCAGAAAAGGGGTAGAAAAGGGGCCTGTGGAGCTATAATAATGAGGAATTCAGACCCAAGCATTGCAGTTCCGCTTTATATAGACTACAAATGTATGATTTATATGTAAAAAGGAACGATTTAAAAGCATGATATGTACCCTTTAAATTCTTGACTGTGCTCCTAATTTTTTTAATTTAGATAATAGATACTTGTATAATAAATACTTGTTTAATGACATATTTTTGTGAATGAAGGCCAGTATCACTACTATTAATTTCCCCAAATTTTAAACATTAATTATAGCCATTCAACATTACAGTGTAATTGAAAGCTATCAATTTTTTAACTTTTACTTAAACAATCCTCACATAAACCCATCGTGAATGTCATATTTACCTGTGCCCTTCCTACCTGTCTAACAGGTAGGACATATAGCTTACAGAAATTGAATAGTTATCAAACAGTCTGCACTGCATAAATTATAAAATAAATAGACTAATCCTTATTAAAGCTACAAAAGTTCTTTAGTCAAGAGCAGCGAGTAATTTTCTGTTACCTTTGTTCTTTGATTAACTTTACTGACAGACAGAATTAGTGGCTGCTGTCACTTTAAGACCAGCTGCTGCTGACAGACGCAGATCTCACACGCGCCTCATTTTCTCACAACTCTACATTCATTTAAGACTTTATTTAACTCATTTAAGACAGCTCTTATGAGGTTATACTCGACAAAAATGACATTTTGGCTTAATTGTGTGTTGTTCGTTCAAGCTCAAAAGAGAACTCTATCCTGGCGCTCGGCCTCTTTTTGTCTTGTCACGCTTGAATGGTTTAAAAGCATTTGCATGAAGAAAAGTGTGATCATTTAATGTAACACTAGCCAAAGGATGACAGGAAAATGGATGCTGCGTTAATTGTTAAATATTTTTAACTCGTTAAACTGGAAAAAATGTATCGCATGTGTTAACGTTGAGTGTATATGTATGTGTATATATGTATCTGTGTGTGTTATATATATATATATATATATATATATATATACACTCACCGGCCACTTTATTAGGTACACCTGTCCAACTGCTCGTTAACACTTAATTTCTAAGCAGCCAATCACATGGCGGCAACTCAGTGCATTTAGGCATGTAGACATGGTCAAGACAATCTCCTGCAGTTCAAATCGAGCATCAGTATGGGGAAGAAAGGTGATTTGAGTGACTTTGAACGTGGCATGATTGTTGGTGCCAGAAGGGCTGGTCTGAGTATTTCAGAAACTGCTAATCTACTGGGATTTTCACGCACAACCATCTCTAGGGTTTACAGAGAATGGTCCGAAAAAGAAAAAACATCCAGTGAGCGGCAGTTCTGTGGGCGGAAATGCCTTGTTGATGCCAGAGGTCAGAGGAGAATGGCCAGACTGGTTCGAGCTGATAGAAGGGCAACAGTGACTGAAATAACCACTCGTTA